AAACCACCGTGGCCCGATTTTGAAATGTGACATTAGAAAGACAAGCTGTCCCACCCTACAAGCCCCTGCCAGAGTCAGAACCAGGACAGATGCAGGGTCTGGCTTGTCTTGTTGGCTGAGTGAGTCATTTCAAATACATTCTGAAAAGGAAAAGGAAAATTTAAAATGGCTTTGCTGTGGATAGGGCTGGGTGCCCTCAGAAAAATGAAGCCATACCAGTTGTGGGCAGGGAAGCAGCTACTTGTCGTGGATGGTCATTTGTGGGTTTCTTTCACTGTGTATTAGAGATTGGCACCTGTCATCTCTGTCTCCCTCAAATACAGTGTCTTTCTTACATTCAGCAAGAAGCAGGCTTTTGTAGAATGAATGAACCAGCAGGCAGCCCAAGCCAATTCTTTGACCAAGCATGGTGGTCCTGGTGTGAAGAGCAGGGTCACACTGGAGAGTTGAGTACAAATGGGAAACCAAACAGGTCACAAAAGAAAGAGGCCAGGAAGCATGGTGGAGGGACAGCTCTGGGGAAATTGACCCAATATATAAGGACTGCCAGGTGGAGAACCAGAAGGTTCTTCCCAAGATCCCAGGATCAGCTATCAACTCAAAGCAAGAAAGAACTGTGTCCCTGCAAACCTTTCCCCAGCATAGGTTTGGTGGAATGTTCATGATGGTGAAGGCACATGGGAGAGGGGAGTCTAAATGATTCCGATGAATACAAGATGATTGGGAATCTGGGTTGATCAAAGGTACACGGATGATCCCATCAAATGACACAGCCATCAGCTCTCCTCGAATTTCCTAGCTTTTTATAAGATCTTCACAGTGGTGTGAACCCTTACCTGGTCTCTGGGTGCTCTGAGGTCTCTTCTGAGAAGACGAATTGTTAGAGCGTGACCAGAGGCACTCAAGGAAGTACTGTCAGGACACAGCAATCAAGACTGCATAGATAATGCAGACCCACTAAAGAGATGCTATCTCCCACAACCACTCACCTGGAGTAACCAGGCAGCTGGAAAAGTTTGGTGTTCTGTTATTACGATGAATAACTGTAGCCAGTATTCATGAGTAATATGTAGCCAGTAATGGTCAGGATATCTTTAATAAGTAAATGCCAACCCACAGGAAACCAGAGCGAGCTGAAGCAGCAGACAAAAGAGAGCTACCATGTGCCTTGGCTATCCGTTTAAACCTTTACCATGTCACCTTGACATCACCTTGACCACACCCTGATGGGCGTGGTCAGACACACCTGTATCCAGCCCTAAGAGGCAGGTGTGGTTACGGTGTCTCCCTACAATGCGTAGTGAAGATATTGTTAAGTGGTGCTGGACGTGATGGGTGCTGATGGGCGGGAGGCTCAGTGAAGGGTAGGTTCCTTCCAGGACCTCCTGCCACTTCTCATGTAGGGTTTTCTAGACTGTACCAACTGCCAGCCTTCCTCCTCCATCTACTCATCCTCTCAATACTCACTGACAGCCTTCTCAAGCCTCACAATAGACACACTGACTAAGAAGCACAGACTGTGGACAAACACATTGCACACACAGTGACTTGGGCTGGCAAGGTGGCTCCATGGGTAAAGACACCTGCCACCAAGCCTAAAGACATGGATTCAATCTATAAGACCCACATGGTAGAAAGAGAGAACAAATCCCCCCAAATTGTCCTCTGACTTCCACGCATGCACTGTGACATGCATGTATCCCCTTAAAATTGAATACAAGGAAAACTTAAAAAAAACACAACAACTAAGGATTATGCATAAGTTGCAAAAGGGATGGCCTTACACAGTTATTTTTTTTCATAGACCTTTAACTGTTTGTGTTCAGTCCCACTGTGGTGGGGGAAAACCCTGCTGTCCCACACAGAACCGAAGCCTCCTCCCTAGAACATACTTTCCAGAAGCTCCTTTTTGAGACTGTGACTGACTAGGCAGATGTCATTGATTCGGATGCTAATTGCTCCAAAGGCCACAATCGAAAGGCATTTAAAAGACCCAAATAAATGAAGAGCTAGTGGAAGCATGGACTGCTTCATGGACTGAAAGCTCAGTACAAGAGAGGCAATTTTCTTCAAATTAAGCTAACAGGTCAACAGACTTTCACCCCGATCCCCACTAAGTTGTTTTCATTTATTTCTTGTTGCTTAGGCTAAACAAACTGATTCTAAAATTCATTTGGAACAGTAAGAAACTTTTTAGAAATGGACAAAGCATGACCAAGTCAAAGATCATAACAACAACACTGGGGCAGCATCTATGCGGAGACAAAAAGCTCAACTAGATGGACAAAGAAACCAAAACAGATCAGATTTTAGGAAAATCATGTGTAGTCAAGAAGACACTGCAAACTGGCTGAGAAGGGGTGAGGATAGAGTAACTGCTGAAGAAATCCAGTATTCACAAAAAAAAAAACAAAAGCTACATTTCCACCTTAAATCACACATGGCACCCTTAAGTGTAAGAACACCAAAAACTTTTAAACTCTTGGCAGAAATACAGAATCTGTTCAACTTTGGGGGAGGAAAGTCATCCTAAATAAGAGACCAACTGTGCAAGCCACAAAAGGAGAAACTGGCACATACAATGTCAGTAAAATGGAAATTTCTGTACACCATAAAAAAGAAAACCCCCACACTGAGAAAAGATCTTACAGCAAAGAAAATCATTTTTTTTAAACTATAAAGAATGTTTGTCCACAAGAAAACACAACCCAGAGAAAGACAGGAGTCTGGAGTTTATGGGTGATACATCAGCATTATGATAAAATGGCTCACCTCACCAGTAACTAGAGAAATGCAAGTTTAAAATAGTGAAATGCCATTTCACACTCATTACCCAGGAGAAATAAAACTTGACTGGAAAGGCAGAGGCAGGGGCATTGCTACAAGTTCAAGTTCAGCATAATCTACATAGCAAATTTTAGGCCAACCAGGGTTACAAAGCAAGTTTCAGGTCAAACCAGGGTTACAAAGCAAGTTTCAGGTCAACTAGGGTTACACAGCAAGACCCTGTCTGGAAAAAAAAAAATGAAGCAGACAAAAACCACTTGCTCAGATCAAATGCTGTATAGAAAGTGGAGCACTCACTAGGGCCTGGAGAGATGGCTCGGTGGTTGAGAGCACATTTTGCTCTTATAGAGGACCTGGGTTTGATTCCCAGGACCCACATGGCAACTCACAATATCTGTAACTCCAGCTCCAGGGCATCTGATGCCCTCTTCTGGCGTCTGCAGGCACTGCATTCACGTGGTGCACAGAACCCACACACAAAATAAAATAATCTTTAAAAACATTCGCATCATCCCGGGGTGGGGGGGGGGAGGTAGAGCAGCAGAAATTCTTACAAGCTTATATATAGGATGCACATAAGAGCAGTCTCTACGTTATGTGATAAAACAGATGCCATGCACGGCCTACAACCTAGCAGTTACATCCTTACGCATGACTCAGATATATTCCCTTGCAGTTTGGGTTGGAGAGTGAAACTCCAATGCAATAGCATTGAAAAGTGGCCTATGGGAATGGATTCTAATTGTTACCATGGGCCCAACAGAGACTCCTAAAGAAAATCTGGATTTGGACCCCTTGATCCTCTCTTGCCCTTCTGCCTTCTGCCTTGGGGTATTGCAGCAGCCAACTCCGGCCAAGCACCAGTCTCTCCACCCTGGATTTCCAAACTCTGCAAGTATGAGAAATAAACTTCTGATCTTTATAAGTCACCCAGTCCCAGGTATTTTTTTAACAGTAGTATAAAACAGACTAAGATGGGCTTGCAGACTAGAAACAGTCTAAACGTCAAGAAAGCACAGCTAGCTCAACCACTGTGGCGACAACAGTCCAACCCCATCAAGAAGACTTGTAAATACAAGGTAACCATTCACACAGTGTAACACCACTAAGGGTGTGTGTGTAAAGAAGCCAGAACTCTTTTATCAATATAGACTCATCTTAGAACCAGTGCTGAGAAGAGAAACAAAGTAAAAACAAAACGTAAGACTTGGTTTCTAGTCCTGGAAATGTTTACAAAAAGTAAGGGACCTCTGTTCTATTCCGGGCGCGTATGTAAGCAGACCAAATGCAAAGACGGACAGGAGGATTGTGAATCTAAATTCAGCCAGCTTCTAGAGGGAAGGAAGCAAATGGTATCTGGAAAACAAATTAAAATCACTCATAAGCCCACCACTCATCCGCATATGTTTTCTATTATTAATTAGCCGTAAAGTAGGGGCGACTTTGATCATGAAGTCAGGTCTTGACAGACTGAGAAACCTCCGGGAGCATTTGGTTGAGCCTTCAACGAGTACAGAAACCACCTATCTATATCTGAGTGGAGGGACTCTGGAGGGTGACTGTCCACATCCTTCAGGCTGTGCGCCACACACTTCCACAGTGCTCGCTTCACAAGGCATCTCAGAATGACTCCCCAGGTGTGCAGGCAGATTACACAATTGCTTCCTTCAGTCCTGTGAGGCTCACAATGTTTTAGAACCTGGAAAAAATTTTGCCCGCTTCTGGGATAAGGGGTTGTGCTTACTCACAATCTTCCAGGTCCTTTCGATCCCACATCCTTCTTAAATACACTTGAAACCTGCCCCTCCACACCCTCTCTCCGATAAAGTGAATCTACTTTTCCACACACTACTTCAGGTATTGAGAGCACCCTCCCCACCCCCACCCCGAGACTTCAGTTTTCTAAGGCTAAATATACTCCTGGCGTTGCTTATGGCAAGCAAGCACTAGCTTCTCTGCTGTTCAGAATGAATTTTTAAACTGTTCTTTTACCAAGCACTTCCCACCCTGATAAGCACTAAGCATGCTGACATGCTTTCAAAGAGCCAGAACGAGTTCCTCTCAGCTGTTCCTATGGGACACTCTGGAAGAAGCCCCACATATGCTTACTTCTACAGCAGTCAGGTGGCCACAGGAGCCCAGGGCCGTGGAGTGGAAGGAGGGAAATATAGGGGGACAGGGATGAGGATAAGGCCAGCTGATCCTTCACTTACTCCCAGAATTCCATGACCGGGGAGGTGGCATTCTGCAGGGACACGTGACTGTAGTTGCTGACATTCAGCTTCTGGAACTCCACACATTTCTCTGAGTGAAAACAAGACAAAACACAGGAGGAAATTAAGCTTCATGGGGCTGAACCCGGTGAGCACCAGGACCTTATGCACAGGCAGGTGGTGTTGGCAAACAGGGTTCAGAGCACAGGAGAATCCAAGCTTTGACAAGTTTCCCTGGTGGCCTGGCCTGGCCTGGCTCTAACAGGAGGAAGTGGTAGCAGCAGGGCCAGACTCTGTTCCTGCCCAGAACCTTACCACATACATACTGCCCTGGCCTCATATCTGTACCCTCTTCTAGTCTGTCTTCTCTTTCTCTGCTTAGCCCTGTCCATGACCTTGGTCTCTGCTGCCCAGTGGCCCTCGCTGGAATGAACAGAACAGGCCAGTTCACTCCCAGTGGCTCTCATGGAGCTGGGATTCCCATTTGGTCTTTTGAAGGGCTGAGGGCTGGATGAACCGGCAGGAACACAGCGAGGAGGCCTTTGGTTCCTTCATCCCTTTATGAACTCCAATGAGTGAAAAAGTTAGTTATTGACCACCTCTTCTCAAAAATCTGATCACCAAGGGTCTGAAGCAGAACCATCCTATGTCCAGGTCCATAGCAATCCTGAGCTATCTCCTCTTCCTCCTCCTCCAAGAATCCTCCCCTGACCTCCCTCTCCTGAATTCTAAGTAAATAAGAACCCTAAGACTCTCCAAGGAATCACCTTCTCTAACTCTTGACTATCAAGAAAAAGAATTCAAGGAATATCTGAGGCCACCATGTATGCCCTCTCCCTCCCTCTGCAAAGCCCACAACCCACAAAGACAGAAGCAAGAACAAGTCCAGCCAGAGCTCCATTGCTGGCTGAGGTTGATTTGGAACCTCTTGGCTACTGCAGACCCTGCATCTTCGGACACAGCTGCCTAGCCTACTGTCCTGTAGGCTCCCTGGGGCAGAGCCTCTGCACCAGCTCATTTAGGACCCAGAAATTCATCCAGCTCAGGGGCCAGTGAAGAACGGGTGTTGCAAATCTAAGTTCTCACAGAGAAAACCCAGTTATACCTGCCATATGGGCAGGGGCATCTGAGGCGTGGCAGGTGTTCATGTCACCAGCTGTGGAGGAAGGGGATCACAAGCCAGGGAGGACTGTGCTCCACTGGGGATAAATGGCCTGGCTGTCTGCTTCATTCTCACTCCTCTTGGCTAATGCTAGCTTTTCTGAAAGCAGGTGGGTCTGGGCGCCCCAGGGAGTCTATAGTGGAGTCTAGAACCCGACATTGCCATCAAATTGACTGGATATACCCCTATCTGTTTCTGCAATGACAGTGTTGGTGGCTTGTATCGGACTCTAAATAGTTTTCCTAAGAGTGATAAGAAACTGTGCGTGGTGATTTGTTCCTGAAGACTCAGCTGAAGGACCTCTGTGTGTCTGAGGCCAAAGCAGAATAAAACATAGCAGGCAGGCAGACAGACACAGACACTGACCCAGACACACACACCACACACTTCCTCAGACAATCAAAACTGATGTGAGGTTTGTATGAAAATTGATTATGTATAGATAAACAATGGTTATAAACCGGGTACTACTCTCACAACATTAGTTGTAGTAAGTCAATTGCTTCTCAACCTTTGGTCTAAAATCACATATAACACCCCTTAAAGCCTCCATGTGTACATTTGTACTCTCAGCACCTGGGCAGTGGAGGCAAGAAGACCAGGAACTCCAAGTCCATCCTGGGCTACATGAGACTATCTTAAAGATGAATCAATTAATTTTATAAATGACATGCCAACTAAACTCGGGAACTGACACCATACAAAGCAAAAGCAATATCATACTCTCCCAGGATGTGCAGAAAAATTCCATTTGGTGATAAACTGCTTCCCTAGTAGAAAAGCAGACCTGACAGCAGAGGCAGGTCCTCCTGCTTATTCCCTCAGACTTCTTCAGCCCACCCTTCTGCAAGAACGTTCCCCTTACAGCATGTCTCAGCTTATACTAACATGCCTGCCCTTCTTTCCTTCCTTCCTTCCTTCCTTCCTTCCTTCCTTCCTTCCTTCCTTTTCCAGTGCTCAGGTGCAACCATAGCCAATTGTTCAGCCAGTAGGCTACATATGTCTTGTTGACACATGATTTAAAAATTAAATCTTGCCAGGTGTTGGTGGTGCACACCTTTAATCCCAGCACTCGGGAGGCAGAGGCAGGCAGATCTCTGTGAGTTCGAGGCCATCCTGGTCTCCAGAGCGAGTGCCAGGATAGGCTCCAAAGCTACACAGAGAAACCCTGTCTCGAAAAACAAAAAAAAAAAAATTAAAATCTTGAAAAATGACAAACACAGAGTCAAGCAACAGAATCTCCCAAGGGTCCTTGACTGTGGTGTCTAGGGTGGAGACTCGGGACCTGTGCAGGTTTGTAGTTTCCTTAACACACTAACTGTCAGGAATCTAAGAATGCATCTCTGAGTTTTAACTTGGTAAAATCTCCATAAGGTCCCTTGCCAAAGGGAGGCTGACTGAACCCTGGGCCTGGAGAGAGTCTTCAATGACTGGAAAAAGAAGTGACTGGAATGCAGGTAAGGCAAAGTCACAGAGGCCTAGAAACTAGACTGTCCTGCTTCCTAGACTTAACACCAGATGCTGCTTCTCTTAGTCAGCACTGTACCTAGGCTCACTGTATCGCAGCTATTGGGGTGATAGGCCTCTCCCAAACATAATCTAACCATAGATGATAACATGGATGGATAGATAGTATGTGTCTCAATTCCTGTCAAAAGGAAGCACCTCTGAGAAGAGGTCTGAGGCCAAGGCTTGTCTCAGAAAAAGAGTGCTGCAATCCATTGGTGATGCCTGCTCTGAGCACAACAATCTCAGAAAAGATTAGACAGGTATTTCCCTGCTTCAAGATTGCCAAAGAAGTTCTGATAGGATGAAACATTAAAAACAGTGTATCAAAGACAAAGTTGATCTACAAGACTCCCCACTGTGTAGGGTGGGGGCGGAGATTGCTGCCTTCAGATGTTTAGCTCGTTTGAACAGGTAAAGCAAACCAAGTATCTTAGGTGTGGTGATGGCAACTATGTCACCCATAAGTAACAGCTGCTCCCCAGTCATGGTTGTGACCGCTGCTGCCAAGTAGGGAGGTTGCCAGAGACTTAATTCTTTAAGAGAAGTTGGGTGGATGAAGAGTTGGCTCAGCAGTTAGGAGCACTGGCTGCTCTTCGGGAGGACTTAAGTTCAACTCCTAGCATCCATATAGTGGCTCATAAGCATCTATAACTCCAGTACCAGGGATATGACACCCCCTTCTGGCCTCCACAGGCACTGCATGCATATGGCTACATACATACAAGCAGACACGCACTCATACACATAAAATAAGATTAAGTAAATCATTAAAAAGAGAGAAGCTGAGAATCAGATTTCTACACAATGTCTTTCAACTTTCAAATTCTGGTTACCAAATGCATTTTCTAGTTTGTGTTCCTTACTGTAAATGCAATCATCTTAACTGACCTTAATTTAGTCTAACTCCCTCATCTTATGGGAAATGAACCACTCAGAGAGGCAGGGTTGGAGAGGGGCTCCTGATCCCCAAGTTACACCCTAGAGCTTGGTCACAATCTAACTCTGTCCATAGGGATCAACCTCACCAGTAACTGCTGAATATACCCTGGTCAGGTGACTACTGTTTCAGAAGCCAGTCCCAGGAAACTGAACTTGTGACAAGAGCCTAGAGGCTAGGGATGTGCCCAACCCCAAATTCCCCCACAGGACCAGGAGAGACCCAGCCTGGAGACCATACCTGTGTTCCACTCGTGCCCACAGGTGGCCCAGGGGAGCTCGGTAGTGAAGCAATTGCTTAGGTAGAAAATGGCCCATGCCAGGATGATGATGTAGTAGACATTGAGGTGTGCCTCGATCACCTGCGTTGCATAGCCAATGCCTGTGAGGACCAAGGGAAAAGAACAGCTGGGGTCTCTGTCCTTTGAAACAGCCTTTGGCGGCTGCTGGAAACTTGTCATCAGTGAGGCCAAGTTTTCTTTGCTCACGAAATCAACACTTACCTTCAAATAAGGGGCAGACTCTCCTCCAGCAGGTAATGCCACCTTCACTTGTGAACTGCCCCAGAGCTGTTTCCAGGAAGAAGACAGGAATTCCACAGCAGATGAAAAACACCACATAGGGAATCAGGAACGCCCCTGTGAGGGTGCAGAGGGATGACATGGAAACTGCCCTGCTGTTTCCCCATCAGCCCCGGTGCTCTTCAGTGGGCATCTACCACAGCTAGAATTCCAATCTGGCTGGGAGGGCTGGAGTCAGAAAACATGGAAGGGGGCTTTGTGCCCCTTGCCACCTTTTACCTTAAGCAGCTCTCCCTCACATCTCTGAACCTCAACATCTCCAGCTGTAAAATGGCCTTTAGTAATATCTGCCACGGATCATTCCTCAGGATGGTTGCATGACTAAAATGGGAATGTTAAAAAAAATTGCTTTGTTCGATAGGTTCTTTTTTTGTGGTGGTTTACTTTCTGTGAGTGTGTACATGCATACATATTTGTGCACATGCATGTAGAAGCCAGAGGTCATTGTCAAGTGTCTTCCTTTATAATCTTGACCCCATTTTGATACAGGATCTCTCACTGAGCCTGGGGCTCGCTGACCCAGCTAGACTGGCTAGCCAGTGAGCTCCAGGTAACCTCCTGTCTCCACTTTCCCAGTACTAGAATGACAGATGTGTACTACAATGCCTGGTTGTTTATATGGGTTCTGGAGACTCCAATTCAACCTTCATGCATGAAGAGAAAGCACTGAGCAGAGCCATGGCTCCAGTCCCCACCCCACCAGTTCCATCCTCCAGCGTAGATTAAGCTCATTTCCATGATATGTGTTGTTTCCCTCTTAAGTCTAAACTAATCTCAAAAGGGTGAGTGAAGGAAACCATCCTTTATTATTTTATTATAGAGCCCCCTAAAAGATTTTTCACATTAAAAAAAAAATCTTCTCAGGGAATCATATGAGGAGAAGCACCAGGCTTTAAAGGGTTAAACACCCCTGTACATATGATCCAGGTATGGAGCTGAGTCCTAAGGAATTTGTTTTAGGGTTAACCTGGATAAGGGCCACCCTAAACCCAATATTCACGGCCTGGCCTTTCTGCAAAACAAATGAAACAAATGAAGCCAGCATGAGCTCCTAGGCACAGATGGAGACACCCTCCCCAAATCCCCCCATTTTCTTTCTCTGGTCTAATAACAAAGCATGGAAACACAGTATTCTTCATCTGATGTCATGAATGGAGCCTTTACCTGAAATTGCTTTTGCTAAATGAAGCCTCTTTAACCACTGGATTAATAGCAACAACCTTGATTAATCCTGATAGTGTGGATCAATCTACTAGGCTTTGAAAGGGGCTTAGCCTTTTCTGGGCAAGGGACTAATTTAAGATTTACCCTGGGGATGAGATACTTTCAACTACTGTTGGGATCTGCAAGTCCAGCCTGTGAACACATTGTTTTGAAAGGAAACCACAGCCCAGCTAGACTAAAGGCAAGAACTTGTGTAATGGTAAATGGTATCTGAGGCCTGAGTCCAAATCTATTTGATTAAAAAGCTGAAGTGGTCCTCTTAAGACCCCGTAATTCACCTGTCAGCCTCCAAGAACTCAACAGATGACACTGGGTGAAAGCCAGCTGGCCTGTGTACTCACAGAGCTAGTACTGTAATTCTTAAAATAACCAACAACCAAACCCGGGTGTCTGCACGGATGGAGGCTCTTGGCAAATCAAAGAGAGGAAAAAAGAGAGAAAAAACCAACAATGAGTCATTTTTCAACTTTACTCACTACAACCTTAAAAACAATTTGTAGCAGAATTTGTGATTAACCCAATTTATCTCCATTTTCAACTTTGCAGAACGCTTCTTGTTTAGGCCTAACATATCCTAGGTGAATAAAGATGCTAATATAGTTTCTGCCTCATAATACCCTAAAGGGCTTCCATAGCTTTCTCAGTGGACACAGTGGCTTCTAAAGGCTCAGTCTGAAAAGTGAGACAGGGCATGCCTGAGGGCACAGGACACATTTTGGGTCTCCAAGCCTGGGCCAAGCCAAAGGAACTATTGGCCACTTCATTACCAGTGCTGGGCAGGCCTGGAGCAGCCTGTGCCTTTTGGGTGAATGTCCCCAAAGAAAGGGCCTGGGCCAGGAAGTGTGGTTCACAGGCTCCTCAGCTGTTTGCACAGGAAACTCTGCATTGTCCATGGCAGACAACTTCTTCACCACCTTTTTAGGGTTTGAAGATTTTCTTGAAGATCAGGGTACCACAGAGGGGTGAGGAAATGACAAGACAAGCCTTTTCTGAGAGGAATCATGCCATCATGGAAGGTTTTGATGGGATCCCTTGCTACTCGACCATCCTACTGCAATATGAGGGGTGTGGGAATGTGGGGAGTGGGTATGAGCCCTGCTTTCAGCTGGGAGTGCTAGGGACCACAGCTTCCACTCCCCCCAGTGGCACTCTGAGATGCCACCACTGGAACGGGCTGGTCTCCTTCCCCAATATCTAAGCATCTTACACATACCAAATAAGCGTGGTTGCAATTGTTGTGGGTGAGTCTGAGCCCAGTAAAAGAAACTGCTTGGTGCCAGGTTTTCCTCCAGAGAGGCCTAAAATACTTTCCCTAGAAATGGCCTGAAGAGCAAATTGAAAAGACCACATTGAAGAGCACACAGCAAAGCCTTTCCAAAAGTTGTTCCCGGAGTCAGCTCAACTCTGCACAAAAACAAGGCTTTGGGGGTCAGAATCCCACCGTCGGCAGTAGTAAAACAGAGTGCCTCTTGGACCCTTAGCCTCATCATCTCTGAGATCAGTAAAAGCACTGCTTTCCAAGGCAACTGTGGGGGAAAAAAAAATCTCCAAAAGACTGCTCTTATCAGTCTTTTCCAGTGAGGACAGCTGAGCCTCTTAGGCTAAATTAAAGGACTTCTGACTAAAACGCGAGCCAGTTGCCTGAAAGCAGAGCTCCTGGGCCAGGTCTGTCCCTCACGCAGGTGACAGACGCTGCTCTGGGCCCCATGGCAGGTGGCAGGTGGTGGCGCGCTCAGGTGCGAAGCGGATCCATGCACGCAGGCGCAGAGGAACAGGTGGGCCCCTCGCAGCCCC